TAATTTTCATCTTGACTTTTCAACAAATCTATTACCCTCCTGTCCTCTAGCCCACATGCCTTTAGTGTCTAAATGGTCTTTTTGATCTATCAATTAGCAAGTTTTTCAGAATGCCTACTGTGTATTAAGTACTATACTAAGTTCAATGAGACATACAAAGAAGTATTAAACATGGTCTCTTCTGTGAAGAGGCTGATTGGAATCCTTTTCCTCATTAAAGAAAGGCTACTTGCTTACCCTAGCACAAGGATTCTGTAACCTTCACCCTAAGCCCAGTTAGGTTCATTGATCCATAGCTATCTAGAGTCAGGATTTCACTTTGAGAGAGGGAGGCATTATCATTTTACTACTTCTATACTTCTAGAAATGTTCCTGGACATATCTCAAGTGGGCAAAGGTGAGGTATGAGTACTAATTGCTCTCTCTCTCTCTCTCTCTCTCTGAAATACTCTGTCCTACATACTGTATCAGGGAATCCATAACTTCAACAAAGTCTGGCTACTTCTCCAAAGCAGATTAAAGAGACATTTCCATATCATACTCAAAAAAAAAAAAAAAACAGGTGAGTACCAGAGACCACTATTCTTCCTACAATTCAGAAAACTTCTCTGGACTAGGAATTGTTGGTTTTCATTCAAATTTGGCTTAAATACAAGACTCATTAGGTTAAAAATAAAATCAGTCAACTACAAATGGATAGAGAAGTAAATCCTTACCAAGAAAATCACTACCAATCAGTTCATTGTGTGTGTGAGGTGGGAGTGTATTGCATCCAAAAGAAAATGCTTACAAATGTCTTATAAAAATAAGCTAGTGCTGAACTGACACAGGAAATTTAAAGGGAAGAAATGTATTTGCTACATACAGCCTTATATAAATTCTTTGCATTCTACAAAATGGACACCGGAGGGCAGCACATTATAACACCAACATTGATCACATTTGCTCTTCTAAAGGAAGCTGAATAGAAGATGGTCCTTAGAGCACACTCATTACCTGTGCACCAAATCCTTTATATTTTTCCTTGTTAAATAAGTGAATATTTGATGAACCCTTTTAGTTTTGTCACTATTAATGACACCACCCACAACCACCTCTTCTTGTTTAAGGAATGACAGCAGCAAAACCCAAAGAGTCATCAGGGGGGAAAATGATTTTATTTTGGATATTTCTGAAATTCGCTTCCATTTGCTAACTGTCTGACTCAGGTTTGTTGACTCCGATTCTTGCCATTCTTCCACAGTGATGGGAGGAGAAACAATATCCACTGAAAACTCTGGGACTAGGTTACTTTAAAAGCACTTGGGCAATATTACCTTTCTTATCTCCTACCTAGACAAGTTAGTACAAGTCTATGAATTTATCCCTTCAATGTACTCCTGACTGCTTTGGAATCTTATAACTCACTATCATTAAGCACCCTGATAAGAAACATTTTTTGCAATATATATCTTCAGTCATTGTGTCTAATAAGTAGAAATCTCATAGAGACAGGACTCAGATGATAGAAATTTTGATTATGCATGGAATGGTAAATACAAAAACAGAAAATCACTTTGTAAAATCACTTTAAACCATGCCACTTCTCCAAACTCTGAAGTATCTTCCCTTAGTCCCTTCTTTAGTTCCTACTTTCGAACTACAAACAGGGATATAGATGCCTTTGCCTGACCCTGAGGCTAACTCAATGAATGGTGAGTCCCTGCCTCAAAGCTCCATATCATAAGACCCAGCCACGCTGCTGTCACTCTCCACACTGGCTCACCCTCTGTCTGCCTGGCCCCCATATAGTTACCTTCTTTTCCTCCCTCCTACATCCCTGCTTTCTAGCTTCCCATTATGTTTTTTCTTCCTTTATTAGAATATAGGTTTCTTGAAAATACATTCTATTGTACTTTATTGTTTTTGTATGCCTGGTGCTTAGTACAGTGCCTAGCATATAGTAACATGCTTAATAAATGCTTTAGCTGGCTAGTCAGCTAGCACTCTCTATGTACATATATGTATATATAGCTATATATGTAGGTCTCTATAGTTATCTCTATAGCTATAATCTATACGTACACATGCGCAGATATACAGATGTAATCATTTTGGAAGAATTAATTTAGATAGTGGACAAAAAGTGACAGAAACAAGGTAAATTATTATAAATGTTGTATCTATCTACCCTAGCCCTAAAGAGGGCAATTTAAAGAAAAATCAAAGGAATAAATAAGTAGCCAGTAAATATGCATTGTAGAAGTATTGTCACTAGAAGACTGATCAGAGTTACTCAGCTTAGCCTCGAGGGCCATAAGGAGGAGCAATAAGTCACAAATATCAATGATATTTTATTTTGATGTAAGAGAAAATTAGGATTCAGCTAAAATGGAATGAGCTCCTTGTATGAGAGTCAGTTTCCTGTCACTCACTTACAGGTCTATATGCCACAGTTATAATTTTTTTTAAAAAATGAATGTGAGTCTTGGTATAGGTTGGACTAGCATCTGGGAGAACTAGAAAAGGTTTCATGAAGAAAGTGGGATTTGAGCTGAATCTTGAAGGAAATAAGGGATTCCAAATAGTAGCAGTGAGAAGAATATATATTCCACGAAAGGGGGACAAGTCAATTCAAAAGCATCGAAATGGGAGGCGGCGTGTTGTATGTGCATAACATTGAGTATGAGAAGACTGAAGGAAGCAGGTTGTAAAGAGATTTAAATATCAAAAGGAATATATATTGAATCTTAGGGGCAATAGGGAGCCCCTGGAGTTTATTGAGCCAAGGGATGATATCAAATTACCAGATAGTAGGATGGATAGGAAAGACGATTGACTTCAGATGTTAAATGATTTGCTCAGGGTCAGAGAACCACTATTTGACTTGAATCCAGCTCCTTCTGATTCAGAGGGACCTTTTTATCCACCATACTATGATACTTCTTCTGTATGAATATTGCAGGGAATCAATTTTATTTCAATGTATCAAGTATTTAAGTTTCTACTATTTACCTACCACTGTGCTGGGTATTGAGGGAGAGAAAAGAAATATGCCACCATTTTTGCCCTTAGCAAACTTAGAATCTAGCTAACATGAATTACAACAAACCATTATGATAACATCTGTAAGTACATTAGAACTGGGAACAAAGGAGAGATTAGTGTGGATCAGAGTAATTGTGAAGGCTTCATGGAAGAGGTAAGAATTCATCTAGATTCCAAAGAATGATTCAGATTTAGATACACAGAAATGAAGAGGAACCTACAGGTCATCAGTTAATTCCAAACTCTTCATTTTACAGATAAGGAAACTGAGGTTGGGAGAGATTAAGTGATTTTCCCCAAGAACAAATCTGATTGATGGTAGCTATCACATCACCTTTAATTCTTCTTTTCTCCATTCTAATCATTGCCAATTCCTTCAACCACTAGTTCATCAATTTTATTTCTAAAATATGATCCTCAGAAGTGAATACAGTACTGTAGATATGGCCTGACCAGAACCAAGCATGGCAGGATTACTGCCTCCTCAATTCTGGACCCCTGGCCTCTCTTAATGCAGGCTAAGTTTAAGCAAGCTATTTGGAGGTCTTATGACCAACTTCCACATAGCCATGCCTCTCCACACCTTGTACTTGTTATATTGATTTTTTTTTTGTTAAACTAGTGGTAAGAAAATGTATTTGTATCTATTAAAGGTCATCATTTTAGATCACTCCAGAATTCAAAAATTGGGTCAGGAACCAAAATCAAGCTGACTATTCTATCATTTGCAGACTTATTCTCTATTCTTTCTGAAAATGGGGAAAGTATTTAGCTTTTTCCAATACTATAATTTAATCTCTTATTTTCCACGATACTTCAAAGGTCATTGACAGAGGCTCAAAAATTACATTTTGTCCAGTTTTCTTCAGTACCAGTAAATGCAATTCATCTGGATTTGATGACTCAAGCTCATCAAGAGCAATTAATATCTTCCTCTCTCCCTACTTATCAACCTTCTATTAACCATTTTTGTTCTATCCATTTCAGCTGAAAAATCATTCACTACAGAGAAAATAGAAATAAAATTAGAGTTGGATAGTTCTTTTTTTTCTGATTTCCAATATCATAATCCCATTTATCCCAAGAGATAGTCCTTTTTCTTGCTTGATCTCTTCTGGTTTTTTTTTTCCATTATAGCACAAGCATCCTTTTTGTTGGCTTTTCTCCCTAGTTTCATCCAATTTAGGACCTCAGCAATTCTGACACAATTCTTTTAGAACTGTGTAAGTAACACTTTTATAATTTTGGTCTATTGTCAGCTCTTACTTCCCTCTTCTCTCCATGTCTTTTAATGAACATTGCTTGACAACTCCCCTCTGCATCCACATATGTCTCTTCACAGAGCTTCAGTTTTTCCTTTCAATTTCAATTCTTTCTCTTCTTGCCTTCAGAATTTTATTTTTGAGAGTTTCTCATCCTATCTGGGCTGCCTATCTTCAAGGAACTTTAGTACATGAGGGACTATCTTTCTATCTATCCTTCTTCTGAACCTTTTCAGATTTATTCACAATTTATAAAATAGACAAGCTGCTTTACCAACATTACCATTATGTCCTGCCCAGAAACCAGACGTTTTATATTGGTGTGAATCAGATCCAAAATAGCTGGGTCCCTTGTTGGTTCTGCCACCTTTCAAAGCATGGAATTATCACTAAATGCAAACATTAATCCCCCAAACCATCAATTTTATAAACAAATGGAGAAAGGTTCTCATCTATTTAGATTGCAAGTTCCCAGCAGTTATGAAACACTCATTTGTATGTTTCCTGCAGCAGAACAAAATATACTGAATAATGATGATGATAATGGTGATAGGTGAGTAGAAAATGACAGTAATCATTCAATACCATACAATACCTTACGATTCAATACATTACAATACCCAAACAATAGCAGTCACACAAGGTTTAATCACGTGAATGAAGAGACCACATTAATCACATGACACACCAAATTAAAAGATTCTTTAATACCTTAGTTTCTTCCCTCCATCTGCAATTTTAGCTTTTTGGAGATATCCTTCCTTTTCAACCATCTGCAAGAAAAATGCAACTGTTAAATACATGGCAAACTCTTATGCATTATTAGTTTGAATGAACCTATTTCTTTCAAGAGTCTTTATCAGGAAGGAAGTCTCCTGTCATAGGATTTCATTAATAATGCACATATAGCTTATCACAAGTGCCTGTAAGGTCATATCCTTCCCAAGTAGTTAAATACACCAAGAGATAGATTGATAGATTTTGGAATGATTTGCAGGCTGTACCTTCATTTTTGTTTTATGTGAATGAACATTGAAGTCATTTGTTTGTATAATTGTTTCAGAATGATGAAATGAACCGTAATACAATGCCTATCCTTCCCTCTTTTTCTACCTACCATTCCTGGAATAAGACCCACTTTCTCTTTCCCTCCATCTACTCACTTACTTTAGCGAATGCCAGGTTGATTGAATAATCATCCAAGAAATTCTTGAATTACTGATGAACAGCCAGAAATCCTGTTCTCTTTAGGTTTTGTTCATAATCACCCCTTTGGTGTTATGCTTTTTCATAACTGGATATTTCATTTCCTCCCTACTTGTGTCCATTTTATGCCACCATCACAGTGCCTTGAAAATAGCAGTCAATAAAAATTCATTTATGGAATAACCCTTTTCCAACTAAAAAATCTTGGCTTTCTCTTTTAGAGACAGTATTTAGCTTTTCAATACCCATCTCCCCTTTTTATACTATGAGATGTTCTTGGAGATGTTCAACAATTCTTTCTAATTTCTGAAGTTTCCCCCTTGGCACTATTCACACAAAGTAAGCTTAATATATTAGTAGGGCAGGGCCAATGTAAAATTCTGAAATTCTGAAATGACTTACCCATTCTCATACAGATTTAAACTCAGGAAGATGAGCTCCTGGTGCTCTATACAATTTGTCACCTAGATGCCCTATAGGTAGTGGTGGAAATAATTTAAGGACATCCTGGTCCTTATTGCAGTCTTCAAATCACAGTGGGTAATTCAAATCCATTCAAACCAACAATCATTTATTAAGTGCCTGAAATAGGCAGGGTACGTACCTAGGTTCATACCTAGAACAGGTGGTGCTAGGATAGAGTGGTACAATGGATAGAGTACTGGGAATGGAGTCAGGAAGACTCATCTGCCTGAGTTCAAATCTGGCCTCAGACACTTACTAGCTGTATGAGCCTGGGCAAATCACTTCTCCCTGTTTGCCTCAATTTCCTCATCTGTAAAATGAGCTGGAGAGAGAAATGACAAACCACTCCAGTATCTTTGCCAAGAAAACCCCGACTGAAAAATGAATAAACAACAACAAAAATCATCCATACTGTGGGTAACTGGGATGCTGAGATGAAAAAAATCATCTATATTCTGAAGAAATGTATAGCAGTGGGGTGGAGGGGAGGAGATTATGTATAGATATATCAGTATGATACAAATTAGAAAATAATGAATTGATAAATATTTACTAAGCATCTACCATGTACCAGGCATTGTGCTAAGAACTAGGGATTTGAAAAAGGCAAAAGACAGTCTGCACCCTCAAAGAACTCACAATTAAATGGAGGAGACAATAAGCAAACAAATATGTACAAACTATGCCCAGGATGAATGGGATGGAATAAAGGAAGAAAGGCATAATTTAGTACACAATGGAGGTTAGAAAGTCCAGAGACATACAAAAAGAGAGAGATCATTTCTGGTTGATGAGTTGAAGGAAGGCTTCATGGTAGGTTTGAAGCGTTTCTCTGTTACTGTTTGGGTGACTTTGGGAAAGTCACTTCACTTTTCTGGTACCACATTCCCTCATCTGTAACATGAAGGGATTGGACTAGTTTATCCATAAGGTGTTTTTAATTCTTTTTGTTCTTTTTTTTTTTTAAAAAAAATTATTTGAGACAAATAATAAAACTTAAATACATAATAAGAAAAGAAAAAGAAACATTATAACCTTAAATATAAAATAAGAAAAAAAAACCAAAATATGTCATTGCACTGCAGAACATAGGAGAGGATTCAAAATATATAGCAATAACTTTTCATTTCAAGAAAGCCTATATATTAAATACTGTTCATCATGTTGAACGCTGTCCATCTTTTCTTTGCTTCCGTGTAGGTTTTTTTTTTGTTCTCTGTTGTACACTTTTTACTTTGTCCTTTTCCCCCTCCCTCCCCCTCTCCCTACTACCCCAAGAATACAACTGAGCACTGGATATATTTATATATAGCTATTCACACACACACACACACACACACACACACACATACATACATACATACATATATATGTATATGTATATATATATGTATATATATACACACACATACATACATACCTATATAAACATATATTTTCCCTAAGAGATTTTATTCCTATTCTTTGTGTTTATGTTTGTGCATATCTCTTTTTTCCTATCTCTCCTAACTCCTCTACTTTATGTCTACCTGCTACCTTACCCTCTTATTACTTACTTAATTACTCAACTATGGAACTCCCTCCCTTTATCCTCCAATTCCCCTAAATCTAAATCCCCTTCTATATCCCTCTTTTAACCTATTCCCACAACCTCCTCTCTGGAGATCCCTCCTTTAACGTCTCCTCGCTCCTTATCCCCTTAGAGTTTTATTTTTTTCTAAATTTAGAAGACTTTTATACTCTTCTAAATGTGTGTGTATGTTCCCCTCTTAAACCCATTCCTGATGAGAATAAGTTTCCAGAACTAACAGCCCCCCTCGCCTGAGTGTTTTTAATTCTAATTATATGATCCTATGGAAGTTGCTTTTACACTGGGTTTGAAGGATGAGAAGGTTGTTAATAGGTGTGAATGGCAGGACAGTGTGTCATGGTCATGGGAGAAGGTATATGCAAAGGCAGAAGCACAAGACAAAGCAGGACAAGATTAAGGGTTTCATTTAGTATGTAAATGAAACTATGCATGGAAAGGTAAATTGGAGCCAGGCTTGTAAAACCTCTGAATGACAGCCTAAGAGTTTTGTACTTTACCTCATAGACAAAGGAGGTATTTTGAGCAAGGATGAGTTTCAGAGGAAAGACATTGGCAGCAGGCAAATTGACTTAGGAGGTCATTAGTGTAGCAGCCCAAGCAATAAGTAAGATTTTAACTAGGGGTGACAATAGAATAGGAAAATCAGAAATATACAGAAGAGATTAGGCAATTTAATGATAAGCCTAGCTGTGATGATAATAATTGTGATGATGGCTTGATAGTTACAAAACACTTTTTTTATATACAAATGGCCATTACAGCAGAGAAATAATGCAGATATTATTATGAAGTAATATAGATATTATATGAAAATTTTATTTTCAGATGAGCAAGTTGAGGCTTAGGTTAAGTGACTTGCTTAAGATCACACAGATGGGAAATGGGAAAGCTATGATTGACCTGAACTCAGGTCTTCTGATCCCAATTCTAGTGTTTGTTTATTTTTTTCTACTACCCCCTGCTGCTTTGCTAATAGTGATGATAGTAAAGATGATTTCATAAAATTAACATGGTGTCTTTCCATGCACTGACCTTACTTCCTTCATACATATAATTCCCACAAGTTCCAATAACCATTTTCTGAATTCTTTTATAACTATAGACAGCCATATTGGGCCTGACACTTTAGAAAGTCTTTTTTTCCTTCTTGTTCATGGACTTCTATGTCAATCCACCAAAAGATCCTTCTAAACAATTAACACTGTGGAAGCAGATCGCCCTTTTTGCCACAGTGTGCACTGAAATATGGTGCCATGTAACCACAGAAAAGGTGGTTACCAAGACCTAGATTTATAGAGCAAAGAGGTACTTAAATGTACAACTTGTTGCAAAAAAAATTACTGATCCCATGTTGACAGGAAACTTCCATTTTTCAAAGTATTGACTGATGGAGAAATGGTGGATAAAGAGAGAGGGGAGGAAGGAATTGAGGTGGTTATATTAACTTCTCTGTGAGGAAATAGAATTAAATACTTAACTGTTATTGGGACGTGTCATCATACGCATGAATCAGCTGCTCTGAGAGGAGTTTATTTTATCCCACAGGACCCTGCTTAGAACACCCAATACTGCAGAATCTCAGTGGTTGGTTTTCTCAAATTATTACACTCTGAGGATGTGATCACTTCCACCTGACAAGCTAAATCAACTCCATGAATCCAGGTTGCTGTGTGTGTAGCTTCCAGAAATTGGTGTCATACATCCTGACTATTGGTTGTTATTATACGAAGATAATATATGGTAATATATTCAGAGGCAATGTAAAATAGTAGATAAAGAGTTGGTCTTAAAGTCAGAAAACCTGGATTCAATGTCCAGCTTTTAATACTAGCTGTGTAGCCCTTGGTGAAAGCACTTCTCAGTTCCCTAGGCAGCTCTCAAAGTTGGGAGTTCTTCTTTGGAAGCTCTTTACAGCAAAGAAGTCACAGGTATATTTAAAATAATAACAACGATATTCATTTTCGAATTATTTCTAAACCTGTTTTTACCCTAAAGTACAGAGGTTATAGTTTGGGGCTCCATTTTATATTTTCTTTTTTTAAAATGTATTTTATTCTGAATTTAAGAAATAAAACAAGCATTTCCATAACACAGTAGAATAGAAAAAAAGATGATTGCACAATTGCAAATCTAGTATGTACAACTTATTACTCCTTTTAAATACATAATAAAATTATCGTGTAACTTTCTTTTTTTTTCTTTTTTGTTCCCCACCCTCAAAGAAGGCTGCCATTAGATACAAATATGTACATATGTGTGTGTATACACACACGTGCGCACATACACACACACACACACACACATATATATATATGTAAAATCAACTTTGTATTTTCAGAACTATACCTAGGAGTCATGTAATTTCCCCCTTCTCACACTACCTTGTTCATGGAACAAGGGAGATTATAGGGAAAAGGTTGATATCTTCACCACTTCACCCCTAATCTTATAGCAGCAGCATGTCCCTTGTTTTGTTGCAAATCACTTCAAGAGTAAGACCAAAAAGGTCCA